ACACTACATTTATTTTAAAAACAGCAGTAGGGTGTATACTAATCAGATAATCGATTATGTTCGTTTTACAAACAATACTGAGAAACCATAATTATTGAATATAAATGTGATTACATATAAAGTGACACAAAAATTAAAAAACGTGGTCTTCATTTTTTCGTTACAAAATTCACTTAATATACATAGTCCCAAAGAATTTAATACAACTAGCTTACTGGCTAATGTAGTTTGAATTTCGTATTGCTTCGTGTGAAACTTTAGATACTCGTCCTTTCCAACAGGTAAGTTCAAACCCAACCGAAGAAAAATGTATTGTTCTAATCATGCTAATTATAAAAATGACCAAACGAATAACACTATAGGTAATTAAGGTCACAGATTTGTTTTAGAATATCTTACGATCAAATATAAAACGCACCAAATAACTGTACATATAAATAATATCAACTAGACACATTTTTAGACAAAAAAGACACTCTGAATATCCTGAAAAATCTCTATTACCGTGAACAGCTACAATCCACTCTCCAGAAATGTCATAGTATGTTCCTTTAAATTCTGAAAGAGAAAGAGTTTATCTGGTCCCATTCTTGTCATCACCCTTCAGCATCCTGAAGGGGCGTGATCTAAATTTTCTGCTAACAGGAAGCTTGGACACCAAGGGCATATTATCCAAATTAAAATCTAGGAAATGACTGACTTTCTACCTAGAAGTTTAAGTGATTTCTTACCACTATTAAATAGAGACTTGTCAGTGAAACTTTTCACTCCGTTCACACATTTAAACCCTGGGCAAATTGGGGGCCAAAAAGAAGACACTTAGGTAACATCTCATTTTCCTTTCCACATATCTGTTCTACTTATAACTGCCATCTGGCAATTCCCCAGTAAACAGCTGCAAGCGGAAGCACGATCATCAACTCTTTACTTATGGATTGGCGAATTCCTCTAGAAATAATGTTTAGGTAGATACGTCATCAGGGAAGGTCGCTTACTCAGTAACCAGTACTACCACTACTATGTTTCGCAATATACCCATCATCATTACCATTATTAGCAGCTTGTTCCATCAAACCTTAATTCCCATCATCCTCGACGATTTATTGCTTTGCCACATACATATATTCACATGCTTTGTTGACGAACGGAGCTGCTCCCTTCATTGGACATTTGTCCTATAGATTCTGAATTACTCCAACCAGTCAAATGTCTCTTCACTTGATAGCAGTCGTCTTATTATTATTGCTAACACTAAAAGCACTTACTCATTTTACTTACGCTTGATAAACATCGTAGAAGACCAGAGGCCGCTCATCACCATTCTCCATCCAAATCTGTCATACGCGATACTTTCCAGTTGTTATTTATCCTTCGGATGTCTGCTTCCAATTCCTGATGCATTGTGTTCTTTGGTCTTCCTTTTTTCCGTTCCCCTTCAGGAACACAAGGTAGCGCCTGCCCCATGATGCAGTTTGGTATATGCTACTTATGCCAACAGATATAAGTAGAATGTAACACCAATCGGAAGTGGAAACCCTGACAGCAGAAGGCTAGGAAGAGCAGATTGAGGAACTCAGAAGCGGAAATAGGAAGGAATTTTGAAACGGAAGAGTCATTTAGAATGTAAAGGACAAATTATTTAAATTTGCAAGCAACATATTCAATATATAGTTCTCATATTTGCCAAGATTTTGTGTAATGTTGTATTAAATGATATTCCATTGTCCATACCTGTGTCCTCATTTGTTGCGACTCCCGCAGTTTGTGTCTTATCCACCTCTAGCTTCTTTTCCTGGTTTCTTTTTCAGCTGAGAGTTGGTTTATTCTCTCCCACAGTAGGCTGTTTCTGATGGTATCCGGCAAAAGGGCATTGAGTATCTTGCGTAAACAATTGTTTATAAAGAATTGTACATTTTTGGTGATGTTTATAGTAGTTCTACAAGTTTCAACTCTGTACAGTAGAACTATCCTGATGTTCTTATTGAAGATTCTGAATTTGATGTTGGCTGATAGTTGTTTTGAGTCCCATATGTCCTTCAGCCGTAGGAATGAAGTCCTTGCTTTGACAATCCTCGCCTTCATATCTGTATCAGATTCTTCTTGTTCATCGGTGATGCTGTCCATGTACGTGAAAGTTTCCACCTCTTCCAGAGCTTCTCCATCAAGTGTGACTGGACCTGTGTTCTCCATGTTATGTTTGACGATCTTGGATTTTCCCTTGTGTATGTTATGGCATGCTGATGCAGAGGCTACTGCCATACTGGCTGTCTTGACCTGCATTTGTTCGTGTGTATGAGGTAGGAGGGCTATGTGATATGAGAAGTCCAAATCGTCCAGTTATGTGCAAGCTGCTCATTGCATTTCATGCCTTCCCCCAGATGTGGAGGTCTTCATAATCCAGTCAACCACCAGAAGAAACAGAAGGGGGGAGAGTAGACAGCCTTGTCTGACTCCGGTCCTCATTTGGAATGTAACTGTCAGCTGTCCTCTGTGTACGACATTGCAGTGTAGTTCGTCGTATGAATTTCGGATGATGTTGGCGATTTTCGCCGACACGCCATAGTGACGAAGAATGTTCCGTAAGGTCCTCCTATCCACACTGTCAAATGCTATCTCATATCCATGGATACTGTTGTATGGTAACGAATTCCACTCAACTGATTGTCCAACGGTGAGTCGTGATGTCGCGATTCGGTTTGTGCACGATCAGTCCTGTTGGCCTCGAATTTGAGCGTCTACTGAGTCTTTCATCCGGTTCAGCAACACTCTGTTGAAAAGCTTTCTTGGTACTGACAGTAGTGTGATGCCTCTTTAGTTCTCGCATATGCTCAAATCTCCTTTCTTTGGAATCTTGGTGAGGTATCCTTTTTTCCAGTCCATCGTCACTCGTTACTCCTCCCAAATCTTCCTGAATAGAACGTGAAGCATGTCTGCAACTGCTTCTATGTCTGACTTTAGTGCTTCGGTTGGCATATTGCCAGGCCCTGCTATTTCCCAACTCTTGATTTGTCTGATGGTCATCTTGATTTCTTCGGTCGTTGGTGGGGTGACACCAGTACGAAGGTCTGTGGATGCTGCTTCGATATCTGGTGGATTCGATGGGGCTAGTCTATTCAAGAGTTCCTCAAGGTGTTCCACCCATCTGTTCCTCTGTCCTTGAATTTCAGGGATTTGCTTGTCTTCTTTGTCTTTGACCTGTCTCTCTGGTTTACTATATTTCCCTTTCGTATCATATAGCTGTCTCATAATTCTCTTGTAGCTCCTCCCGCTGTCGTTGCTGATGCTCTTCTTCACTTCCTTGTTCGCTTCTGTGTTTTCAGCTTGTGCCTTGACTTTCTCTGCTCTTTTTCAGCCCTTGTTAATTGCCGTCTTCTCGTTTCTCCTTTCGTTCATTTTGTGCAGGGTTTCGATAGAGATCCATTCCCTATTGAGGATGCTTCTTGTGACCAAGCACCTCCTGACATTTTGAAGTTAGTGCTTCTCTGATCACTTTCCAGTTGTTCTCCATACTAATTTCTTCTTCTTTCAGTAAATCGTGTAGGGCTTGAAACCTGTCGTTGAGAGTCATCTTGAATTCTTGAACATATGTCAGCTCCCCTCCTGGTTCTCATGTCTTCCACCGACCTTGTGAATTTTCTACTGATGCAAATACGATCAATCTGATTCTTCGCAATGTAATCCTGTGATATTCATGTGGCTTTGTGCACGAGTTTGTGGGGGAATATTGTTCCTATGACCATTTCATTGAATATACAGACATTTGCAAATCTGTCACCATTCTCGTTCCTTTCTCCCAATCACTCTGTGTCGTCCCATGATACCCTCATATCCAGTGTTGTCCATTCCGACTTTAGCGCTTAGATCTCCCATCAGGATGGTAAAGTCTTTTCTTGGGCACTTCGCTATGATCGACTACAGCCTCTTGTAAAACTGATCCTTGTTACTGTCATTGCAGTGATTGGTGGGTGCTTAACATTGGATAGCATTCGTTGGGATTCCCTCCTCCTTCGTTCTAAAAGATGCAATGATGATTCTGGATCCATCAGATTCCCATCCAAATAAGCGATTCTCGTGCTTGTTCGAACAGTATCAGAGCAACTCACTGAGTGTGTGGAGCATTTAATTCTTCATGACCAGAGTACAGAAACACTTCCCCAGAATCTAACCTTTTCTGTCCAGCTTGGGTCCAATGGGTTCCATTAATTCTGAGAACCGACAAGTTGTATCTCCTCATTCCCATAGCTAATTAATTGATCATACCGGTCTCCTGCATTGTCCGGACATCCCATGTACCTATATTAATTGTTGCTCTGATTGTAAGAAGGAGCATCAATCTCGTGACTTCCAAAGAATCTCGGCTTGCACCATGAGGAGTCATAATTCTTCCTTCATTTCTCAGGGAAGGGTTTAAATGGTTTAATTTGTTTACTCTGGTTAATTTTTTTATCAAGGTTTTTTCCGTGGGATGGGGTTGCTGATCTAACGCCTAACCCTCCTTCTTTACCCGAATTCGGGGCAGACAGTAACCCTAGAAGAGCTAAGGGCGGTGTTCATCAAGTTCTACTTGCCATAAGTTGCACTATTCAGGGAATTTTCAAGAAGCAAATCAATTTGAATACTTCTAGCTATCATAAGTAATCAAGGCTTATACTATACTATACTACTATACTATTCTGATGTGATCACAAACTGAGTTGACGAAAAATTTGTGGAAACGGGCGGAATGGAGAAAACACTCTGACTTATAATTTTGGCATTTCGGCATGAACTTTTGAGTCTATAACGGCTAATGGGATCGAGTATTTAAACTATTCATATGTATCTGGAACTAAGAAGCAGGTGTAATGGCAACGAGGACAGATGATATTGTAAAGTGTACGATGCTATAAAACTGAAATTCAGAAACAATTTAAACCCACTGGACTCCGTAGAAGCCTTAGGAGTATCTCCTGATGCCAAGCCTCGTTTACTACTGTTAGTCACAAGAATATTGATAATTGGATAACTTGATATTCTAGCGGGTCACCTGACCTATTACTAAACGCAATGGCTGCTCTTGTAAGTATTGTATGGTTAAAGTTTATTTAGTTTAAATGCTCTTTTGACTAGCATAATATTATTGAAATTGATTTTAGGAAGTTGAGTCGTACCCACGTCGGTCACCAAAATATTTGTCTGGAGAACCCTCTAGGAAAGTTAAGCGTGAAGCGGAGAAAGGGACCTTGGAATCTACTCCTCCTCCCACTGATGGGATAAAGAATTATTATATGAACAAGATCGATGAACATCAATTTATTTACACCGAGAAAGTCCTCAATTTAAGGCGACTGGAGGCTCAACGGAACGAGTTAAACGCTAAAGGTAGCGATGTGTATTTTCCACTTACATTCCTTAGTTCGAATGCTTCGAGAAGAGCTTCAGCTGTTACAGGAACAAGGTTCATTTGTTGGAGAAGTCATAAAAGCTATGGACAAAAAGAAAGTGTTGGTCAAAGTACAACCGGAAGGAAAATATGTTGTGGACATCGACAAAAACATTGAAATGTCTCAGATATCCCCGAACTGCCGTGTGGCTCTCCGAAGTGATAGTTACACGTTGCATAAAATTTTGCCAAGCAAAGTTGATCCCCTTGTATCTTTAATGATGGTAGAAAAGGTTCCGGACTCTACTTACGAGATGATTGGAGGCCTCGATAAACAGATCAAAGAAATTAAAGAAGTCATTGAACTTCCCGTAAAACACCCAGAGCTTTTTGATGCTCTAGGAATAGCGCAACCTAAAGGCGTGTTGTTATATGGACCCCCAGGTACAGGGAAAACCCTGTTAGCTCGTGCCGTTGCCCACCATACTGAATGTACATTTATTCGTGTCAGGTATTATCAGTTGATCTATACTGTATATCCTTCAGCGGTTCTGAACTTGTCCAAAAATTCATCGGCGAAGGAGCTAGAATGGTTCGTGAATTATTTGTTATGGCGCGAGAACATGCACCATCTATAATTTTCATGGATGAAGTTGATTCAATTGGATCCACCAGATTAGAAAGTGGCACAGGGGGAGATAGTGAAGTTCAAAGAACTATGTTAGAGCTGCTCAATCAATTGGACGGGTTTGAACCCAAACAAAATATAAAAGTAAGGTTCACACACTATTATTACTCTATAGGTTATCATGGCAACAAATCGTATTGACATACTTGACTCAGCTCTTCTAAGACCTGGCCGAATTGATCGGAAAATTGAATTTCCTGCTCCGAATGAGGAAGCCCGATTGGATATCCTAAAAATACATTCTCGAAAGATGAACTTAACTAGAGATATCGACCTGCGTAAGCTAGCAGAATCAATGCCTGGTGCCAGTGGTGCAGAAGTCAAAGGAGTGTGTACGGAAGCCGGTATGTACGCGTTGCGAGAACGTCGGGTTCACGTTACGCAAGAAGATTTTGAATTAGCAGTTGCTAAGGTAACTCATTTTTTAGCTAGGTCGCTCGTGCTTGACGTTTTCAATTATCCATTTTGATTATTTTTATTCAAGAAGTAGTTTAGAAATGTTTGAGAATTCAGAAGAAAGTAGAAACGCAAGTTAGAGGGCATAAAATATTGTACGTTTAATTTTACACCTATCACAATCCACTCTGTTTGGAAAGGGGGAGAGGATAAAATGTCTAAATGGTGTGTAATAGTTTTTCCTACTTTAGCCACCGAAGTTATTAAACAACACAGAGTAATTCTTTACTTTACCAAGGAATGAATAAATTCGAAGCTTTGTTCACATCAGGCAGAGATAAACTATTTTAATCCAGTCGGTGAATAATATGTTTATAAAACCCATAATTTTCACAAATCTGGAATCAAAATGACTAGTAACATTTCAGTCCTTTCTTCGGGTTATCATCCTACTGTGAGTTGAATTGTGAATAAACTTTTGTAATCCTGGTTTTATTACTCAAGTTATACTCTTCGATCACTACTTATCGACCCAAAAGCTCCACTCAGTAAGTCTACATGACTCAAATAAGAGATTATTAACGTCATGAATTGGCGTTATTATTAATTATCCAAAGAAGAATTTTGGGTAGTTCATATTACATAGTCACCTTATGACTTTATAAACATTGAGTTTCTTCGGGCTCCTTACAACTAGTTGAAGCACGTCGGTCTACTCCAGTCATTCGCGAGTTTGACCATAAACAAAGGTTGTTGCGTACTAAAATTGCACAAAGCTTTAGTAAGGATCGATAATTCTGGTAGTTGGAGCCTACTGATGAGTTAGAAACAACAACTGCTTCCGGTAACTGCCGGAAGGTCTTTTAATTCATCCGAGACACTGGCAGGAAGAAGTCTGGTGTTAGTGAAACAATCTGTGAAGCTGATGGGATGGCAGACAATAACATCTGACTTGAATGAGGAGCGCTTGCACTGGTCTGCTGCCCTAGTGACATCGATCAGATTGTTTTACTCTCTATAGCCAGTGTCGACTAATCCACCTAACGAGGCGCGAGTATGCAAGGGACCTCAACTCTTGAAACATCACAAATCACCAGGTCCATATAACCTACCTCCATTCCTTTTAAAAATGGTGGGGACCTGGTTAAGGAACCGACTGAACTGTTTACAAAGGTTCAACAGTTAGAGTGTTCCAACATCGTGGAATGAGTACATAGTTGTTCCTACCTTTAAAAAGGGTTCACATCGTTTCTGGAACAACTGTGGGAGAATAAGCCTATCTCCGATCGCGTCCAAACTATTGGTTTCCATCATACCTCGTAGATTGTTTAAAACCCGAGAAAGATTGACTCGCGAGGAGCTGTCTGGTTTCCATTTTAGACGAGGATGTGTTGATTTTTACTCTCCGCCAAATGTTAAAACACCATCATACTTATTGCAGAGTAATATTCGTAGTGTTTCTTAACATCAGGGCTGTCTTTGATTCGTTGCGCAGAATTTTCTATTAAAGACTATGCCTGAGGAGATTGTTAACATTCTGGAAGCCCTAAATACAAACACCCAAGCCATGTAATCCGCACTTAATCAGTTGGTAATCAATGTCCGTGAGTATGACACATACTTCGAACCTTCTGAGTGCAGTGTACCTTTACAAGACTGGTAGGAGCTCGTACCTAGACTCACACTTGGTGGTGAGCAGTTACAAGTGGTCGGAAAATTTTTGTACCTGTGTGATTGCCGTTGGTGGCGTGAGTGATGAGTTTAATTTACTTATGGTGATAACCAAAGCGACTTATATCATTCCGGGTCATTGGCGTTGTTGTGATGTTGGTCTAGCTGTAAAAGGTCGAGTTTACAACGCGTTGGTGAGAGCAGTTACGCTCCATGCTTGTGAAACCTGGCCTCTTTGTGTTTGATCATCGTTGTCCTCGAAGAATTGCTGACATCCAGTGGCAAAATCATGTTAGTAATGCAGAGGTTAGACATCGTGTGTTCGGGCACAACGACGATAATTCAATTAGCTTCATTTTCTGAGAACACCGATTTTGGTTGTTTTGGCATGTATTACGAATATCATCCCACACCGTGCATTATTTGCCGACGCTGGGACTGGTTGGGAAAAGCGGAGAGGTGGTCAGTGTATGACATGGTGTTGTGATATGAAGGAAGCCTGTATAAGATTGGCTTCTATTGATCCTTCACGACTCCCTGGTTGGGGTTCTAGTGAAAGTGCAACACAGTGGCTCGTGACGTTATCAGGTATGGCTCCCAAATGTCCTGGTACGGCCGAGGGTGGGGAGTCAGCTCCCTCTCGAAATGCTCTCATATGGTCACGCGTATACGGCCACTGCTAGGGAAGTCCTACTCATTGCCTTATCCCGGCAGGGGTGTTGTTTACGATTTCGAAAGGACGAAAAGTGAATGTCCGGCGCTTTAACCGGGTTGGTGGACGCGGAAAGTCCACCTAGGAGAGTCGGAAAACTTTGATTCCAAAGCAATGATGCACATGGGCTCCGGGATTCTGAGGGAACAAATGGCGTACGAACCAATTATTGGTCACCGGCTCTCATGAGGGTGCATCTCCTGACGTTGCTCCACTGCCTTGTGGATCAAACCTCGGGGTGTGGCCCCCTAAGAAAACCACCTGTTTCGATCTGGGAACCCGGGCAGTATCATAGCCCTCCGACAAACTGATTGATTTATTTGGCGCATATGTATTCGGTGCCCCTTTGTACCGACATTTGTGTTCAAATAAACAAATGAAATATATATGGCTCAGAAAACAAGCCAGTGGTGATCCTGCTTTAACTTTCATTTACTTCATGTAAGTGAAAGTAACTTCTTTAACTGGAAGAATCCTTTATGATCGTATTTTTCTTAGATGAACTGCTCCTCCCATTATTATTATTGTTATTATTACTATTATCATCACTAATTTTTGTCCTTTTATATTATAATCACTCCACTTTCCCTATCTCTTCACAACCTAACTTTTATTGTATGGTGCATTTACATTTTGATTCATCTTTGTACCAATATTTGTGTTTGAATTAGTAATTGTAAATTTAACCAACATGATTGACATATTAGCTTAAAAAACAAATAAAAAGAAGAAATTTGCTTCAGATATGAAAAAGGACTAAAAGTGAATTCATCTTTGCTATGTTGAATTCTGATAATATTATTTTATTTCTGTGGTCACTCGTTTGTAATTATATCTCAAAAAAACCTTACGTTTTCTCTGTCTCAAATTTATTTGATTGAGATCATGTACCGATTGATGTTAGACCATCACAATTGAAAACCTGGAAGCACTGGACGGCCGTTTCGTCCTATTGTGGGACTCCTCAGCAGTGCGCAGTTGGTTAAGCGTTCGCGCGCGAGACCGAAGGCCCTGGGTTCGAATCCCGCTCGCGGGGTCGTGGATGCGCACTGCTGAGGAGTCCCACAATAGGACGAAACGGCCGTCCAGTGCTTCCAGGTTTTCAATTGTGATGGTCTAACATCAATCGGTACATGATCTCAATCAAATTGATTTATCATAAAACTCCTAACCATTTAAAATCCTATTCAATATATGTGGCATCTCGAAATGTACGTACCTACTTAAACTCCTAAATTCATCAGATTAGAGCGTTGTTAACTCATCACTTCGTGACTTTTACATAATTTGTAATGTCTACCATTACGTATTAGTTTCTAATCTTCAAGGTCCACGTCTTACCCTTACTGTTAGGCAAAGTAAACTACTACGTAAACTCAGTTGGTAACAGACACTCAAATGTACTACCTGCATCATGAATGAAGAAATCAGAAGAGTAATATTTTCAGTGCCCAATCATTTAAATAATTCTTACTAAACAGTTTGTGGATTAGGGATCCATCTCGAAAATGCCTAAAAATTGTGATCTCTGGTGCTCAAATCTTTGGGCGCTCTGAATCAATTAGGGTATTTTTAATTAATAGATGAACTAGTGGTAGTTGAGAAATTGAAAGAAGCCTCTAGAGTAAGTTGTTTGATAATAAAAATCGTTGATACGACAGTAAAACACCATACTTCACGTTGCAATAAATATCTCGAACAAATTATATGTTAACACGAAATCTGTAGGTCAGTAAAGTTCAGTGTTCCGTTCAGACTGGTTTCTATAAATGCCTTTGGTAATACTGTATAAGTGAAGATGTATTTTCCTAATGGCAATGACCAATTAGTGAAGTAAACCACAAATCTAAAGCAATAAGGACTACCACTTTGACTGCTTTCAGGGTCTGTGGTAATGCTGACACGGGACTATCAGTTTAAATTGTTTGAAGTATCACTTGAGTTATGTGAGTTAGGCATAAACTTTCTAGCATTAAATCTTGCTGATTTATATGAACGCGTAGAACTTTGACTAAAACCACGGCGAAACTGAATTCTATAGCTTCACAATCATTCAACTTGTAAATGTTTGACTTAATTTAACTGCTGTGGGATCCACTCATGATTCCCAATGATACTGTTATTTCCTTGTAAGACGTTGTCAATTCGTATTAATTTATTTTTCAAATAAAATTTTATCTCCAAATATTTTTTCTAAATCTCCATTTTATTGTAATTTTTTGTTTAACTTTATGCTCATTTGTAGGTGATGCAGAAAGATTCTGAGAAAAATGTATCTATCAAGAAACTGTGGAAATAAGGCTCTAAATTTATTTATTTTATATGACTAAACAGTACCATTTTCTTTTGTAAAAACGTTACTGGTATATTCTGTTTTCATTCTTTGTCTACTTGTTCACAGAAAAATGAACACATTTTTTCCAGTTATTTGAATCGCTTCCATAGACTGCTTTATTTTTAGTAACTAGGGTTTTGTTCTTATTATGTAAATTGTAGGTAATTAACACTCATACGTTTTTATTTTATTGTTACGCAATTATCCGTGTAGGTTTATTCTATCACTCGTGTGTCACAAACAAAAATTTCTAGGTGCAACTTGGTAATTTAGTGCTTGAGACCTAAAAATATCATACTACTCAAAGTAAACCTGGGTTCAAATGTGCAGTTCAGTGATTTAGTTTCGTATTTCTAGTCCTGAACTTTTGCTGCATAAATTTAACAGTAAGGCTCAGTCATTCAAAAAAACGTATAGCACACATATTTCATACCATATCAGCACTGTGAAATCCTATCGTCTAGACAAATTCGAGAGAAGTAAAAGTAAGAATATCAGCAGAACACATTAAATGTGAGCAGTATGCTTTTCGAAAGAATGAATTTGCATATATGTGCCTGGTCCTGATTGACTGACAGAACGAATTTGCAAAATAAATAAAAGTATAAGATGACTTTAAAATCCATGATCTAATGAAAAAGTGTCTGTTTTGACTGGTTGTGATCCATGTCACCGAACGTCTTATTACGACAAATTGCAAAAATCGAGCAGAATCCAATCAGATAGTCTTAGTTCACAAACACAGCTCAGTCACTGACGTTATGAACTGATACCATGTTTTGGTTTGGTTGTATCTAGCTTTGCAACTCACCCCCACACCGTCATTGTCGCCTATCGAAGTAGGTGGTAGTGGAAAATACTGCAGTTGTGATGTGGGTTATTTACATCCATATAAGTAGTATATAACGATGGTCAGACATAGAATGTATTTCAGCAGAAGGTCGATAAGGAAGGAACGGAACGCACTTGGTATGAAAATGCATAGACAATAAAATCTGAGACAATGGACTGATATTCGCAAAGGAACAGTCAAATTTGGGACGATGGATTGATATTTTGCAACTTAACTATTTACTACATGGTTCTCAGATTTTTTAATTTCGTGTCGAATGCATTTGATTATCCCCACTCGTGTTCTTGTTCACTACACAGTTAATAAAGTGGAAGTACTTCGTCAAGTGGTTTATTACCTTTGCTTGGTATTCTGTGTCTAGATTCAGCAGTGCTCCGAAGGTATATTTTACCATATATTAGTAACCTACCAATACTTTTCTTTTAAAGGTAACGTTCCACAGCTATAATGTAGAAGAAAGCGAACTGACCGTGCAGTATGCTTGTATTTCTAACAAAGTGACGGACATTTCAATTACTTCATAGGCACTGACTCAGACCATATCTAAGACAGGATTTTGCAAACTAGAAACTTGCCTAAATCAACTTGAAATGCTGCATTTTATCAACGTTTTCACTAAACAGAATTATAAGCATCCTAAGTACATCTAATATATTTGTTCACAACTAGTCAGAGGACGTTATTTTCAAAATTATATCAAAAGTGAACAACTTTCACTCATTACTTGATGTCGATTCTGATGAAGGTTGACCGCAGGCTCTGATTCGGTCAGTAGTGATTTGGCAGAGTTTTCTTTAGAACGTTCCTCAGTAGGAAACTTATAAAACCTGTCGGTCAATCAACATAGTAAGAGTAAATCTTGGTTTCTGGACAGTATTTTCTGAGCAACGAAGGTTCGAGACGACAGCACTTGTTCTGAATTCCTTGGCTCTAAATCTGATTGATCACGGACGAATTATTTTGCTGGGGTTTGGACGTCTTTTGTTTCCTATACAACCCGCAATATGTAGACGCTAGAAGTTAACATGTAGTCGTTTCCATTAATGGACAGTCCATTATCTGTAGTAGGAATTATATACTTTCACTGTGTTCACATTTGTCTTCATCCTTGTTTTAGATGATATGGAAAATAGATGTTTGGCCAATTACATATGGTTGTTTCTCCTGTCGTTGAGGCCACAAATTAACGTAGTTGTGCATTGTTTTTTACAGAGTTTCGATTCATAGGTTTATCATTATGTTTGCGCTTCCGCAAGTTAATACAATAATCATGTCTCCCTCATGAAGCAATCCTGTTAGACAGTCCCATTGGGGATTTACCTAAGTATCAATTAAAGTCGACAAGCATGGCATGTAAGGTTGGATTCAGAGGTCTTTAAGGATAATAGGGATTTTAGCAGTTAGTCTAACAGTAATATTAGCTAGTTTGGAAACTGAACGTAATCTTATATAACTGGTCTCAATTATCCTTGTCTATATGAACTAAAATCCTTATGAGAACAGAAGAGTCGGTTTGGCTAATGTAGTATCTAAAACGCCAGTTTCAATAACCATCTGACCAGGAGAGTTGGGAAAACTAGGTAGGTTTTGGTCCAAGGCGTGAATGTACTGATCAAATCCTTAGTTTTATCCAGGTATTAAGAAATAAACATACGTACTGACACCTGGCTATAGCACTATTTTGCGACTTCTAGGGTGTCATTCAACTCAATTGTCTAAGAGGTCTTGAAAGCTCTTTCGATGGCAGAGTATACAAAATCGTCTTCACTAGAATAGTTTTTCGCGATAAGGCTTACGCCGAGCTGTAGTCAGGATTGCCAATCTCAAGTTGTGCTCATCAGAACTGTCCACAGACTGTTTTGATTTAATTTCACCATAAATTTACTTGAAGCCGCTATCTTCATTTGACTTCCCAGGGACTTATCTTCATGCGAACTGTCCAGCGAGCAGTTATCAATGAAGATACTGACAAAAAAAGTCTTTTAAACACCTTAAGTAACAAAAGAACCATGTTAGGGATGCGTTTTCCCCTTCTAAATGCAAACTGTTGCTATAGGATTTGTCTTTATCAATTACCGAAAGTGAACTAGTTGACCACCCTTCACTTACCATGGAAATCTCATAAGCTATCGTGGACTGAAGGAATCTCGTCTGATTTTTCACCAACTTGGAGTTCATAAAATGTCAATCCGCTAAGCAAAGGAGAAGCATACTGCGCAAAATTCTGTGTTCCTCGACAAAACGAAAAATGGTCTATGAAATTAGAAGTGATGTGTAGAGCGCAGGCTCTTAGTTGTTGGTCTTTAAATCATGGTTGAGACATCGTTGGACCATCGAATAATGCCGAGGCTAGCACATAAGGCCGAGATGGAAATTTATATGGAACTGTAAATTCGAAACGATTGATGAGGATAACATATGCTAAGTTTCCCAGACTACTGCCTACTACATTCTCAATGTTGGCTGAAGTAGGAGCATATCATGGAAACTAGGCGGAGGGGACCGAATTAAGACGTGGGATCAGTTAGCGAAGTGATTAGTGGATAGTCACACCAGTAGATGCATATCACTTTGCTGTGGCCCACGCGAAAGAGTCGATGTCAGGTAAAATGACTAGAACATAGTTAATAATGCATATATATTTACTAGGTATGTCCCATAAAGTTCGGAGCTTTAACGTGATTTTTTTACATACTTATTTAGTGTTTTAAAGAACAGTGATACATTCTCATGCTAGAATTCACTGGGATACCGATCACCTACTTAGCAAACACGGACATTTCATAAGCTATCTTAACTGGGAGTGAAAAATACAACTGCAAAGAACTTGGTCTTCACCACTCATCCTAATTTGTCAAAAAAAATGCTTCCGTGATAATTACGGAGAAAGTAAATGGACAAATACATGGCCCCTGAGATCTGTGATTATTGGACACCTGGGTCGTCTAGAACTTAGAATCTAGTGTGTATGTACATCGGTTCAAGTTGCCATAGCCCATTAGCAGAGACGAAATTGGAACAGTATCAGTGGTAATAAGAAAAGTTAGGCACCGAAAACAAGATTCGAAACTGGTGGAACAAAAATGCAACGAGGAAATCAGGATTTAGGGAAAACAAAGAATGGACGCACCCGAGTCATTGCTAAACGACCTTGAGCCATGCCAGTCTATAACTACTGTTTATGGTAATCACGCGGACCCCAACCACGTAGTCTACATCTGTCAACATGGACAAGTCTAGTTATCAATGACCTCATAGACACCTAATCGGATACCATCGACTTCGAACAAACTAAAAGTGTAAAGCGAATGCATGGTCAACCTTATTCTGGGCTAATAAGACATAGCAATTGGTACCTTACCACTTTCGTCTTGGTTTACCCGAAGGTAGCGTTCGACTTTGATACACCTCCTAGTGGCGGAATGATGCTGGAATACTCTACATCCCCTGAGTCTATTTTTCGAGTATAAAGTATCCTCATATTCAGCCTAGACTTTATAGGTAATGCTCTTTGTTCTGTTTATCTAACAATTGATTTTACGTAATTAGTATTTCATCGACTAGTAATTCATAGACAATGTACCCTTTTATATTGAAAAAAACAACTATTCAGAACCCCTGAAGTGAGATAAAATATCATCACCGCATAGTATGTTTATAGGAAGTGTGATAAAGCCTTGACATTAATGATATGAGTCTAATTAATCAGTCAAAACACCAGAATACTTTCTTATTAACATAAGTCGCAATCAGCATTCCACTATAAAGTGAACATATAGTTCTAATCTTACCTTGACTTAAAAACACGAATGCAAATTTCTTAAAATATATCTCCTCGTAATGTTGTACGTGGTCGGACCACAGAGTAGGCAATACTAACGCTGCTATGGTTCTTTCATCAATGCTCCTCTTGGTCTGTATTCCCTAGAATTTGAAAGGGAGTAAAATTTAGTGCACATATCACAGTATTCAATAACGCGCCTTACATCTAAAAGTATGAATCCACTAGCAGTCCAACGCTTAGAAAATCATTGAGTCAAATGATCCAAACTTCAATATGTATAAAGAAAAGCTAGACAAAAGTGATTAAATAATATAATATCAAGAATTAGGAGATCTATCATTACATAATACTCATGATGAAATAAACATAAAACTCTTCATTTATAAAATCTTCCTGAATATAGTTACAATTAGAAAGCACATTGACAAAAATAAATTTTGACAAGTTAGGTTATATTATCCTTGGCAGCTTAAGCACCCTTCGGGATTGTTTAAACTACAAGCAATAGCGTCCACATTCCGTTTCTGTATTTCCTCCATTATTCGAAGTTCTTCTATAGCTTCAACAGTTTGATCAATTGAATCATTATTTTGAGGTTCATTTGTTTTTGTTGTAGAATCAGTAAGCACTCTCAGAATAGTTTTGTCTA